ATTCTTTTCGAACCTTATTAGCTCACTAGATTTATATATTTCCCACCTTCTGATCGAGTGAGACCGCTAGATTCCCTCTTCTTTTCGAGAAATGAGCGTTTCCGTTCTCCTTGGCCCTACTTGCACTACAAGTGCGAAATGCCGGCTAGACAGGCCGATGCACCATTTTCTCTACACATGTGTGTTAGTTACCTTTCAAACCCTTACGTTCACTAGATGAATTTATTTCCTACCTTCTATTTGAGTAAGACCACTAGATTTCGTTTACTATGCGAGATCTGAGCGCTTCCGTTTTCCCTGGCATTTGCACTCTAAGTTCCCATACTGACCGACCTGGCCTATGCACCATTTTCCATATACATATGCATTAGATTCCTTCCGAACCTTATTAGCTCACTAGATTTATATATCTCCCACCTTCTGATCGAGTGAGACCGCCAGATTCCCTTTACATTTTGAGAAATGAGTGTTTCCGTTCTCCTTGGCCCTACTTGCACTATAAGTGCGAAATGCCGGCCAGACTGGCCGATGCACCATTTTCTCTACACATGTGCGTTAGTTACCTTTCAAACCCTTATGTTCGCTAGATGAATTTATTTCCTACATTCTATTTGAGTGAGACCACTAGATTCCGTGTACTATGCGAGATCTGAGCGCTTCCGTTCTCCCTGGCATTTGCACTCTAAGTTCCCATACTGACCGACCTGGCCAATGCACCATTTTTCATATACATATGCATTAGATTCCTTTCGAACCTTATTAGCTCACTAGATTTATATATTTCCCACCTTCTAATTGAGTGAGACCGCTAGATTCCCATTACTTTTTGAGAAATGAGCGTTTCCGTTCTCCTTGGCCCTACTTGCACTATAAGTGCGAAATGCCGGCCAGACTGGCCGATGCACCATTTTCTCTACACATGTGCGTTAGTTACCTTTCAAACCCTTACGTTCACTAGATGAATTTATTTCCTACCTTCTATTTGAGTGAGACCACTAGATTCCGTGTACTATGCCAGATCTGAGCGCTTCCGTTCTCCCTGGCATTTGCACTCTAAGTTCCCATACTGACCGACCTGGCCAATGCACCATTTTCCATATACATATGCATTAGATTCCTTTCGAACCTTATTAGCTCACTAGATTTATATATTTCCCACCTTCTGATCGAGTGAGACCGCTAGATTCCCTTTACTTTTTGAGAAATGAGCGTTTCCGTTCTCCTTGGCCCTACTTGCACTATAAGTGCGAAATGCCGGCCAGACTGGCCGATGCACAATTTTCTCTACACATGTGCGTTCGTTACCTTTCAAACCCTTACGTTCACAAGATGAATTTATTTCCTACCTTCTATTTGAGTGAGACCACTAGATTCCGTGTACTATGCGAGATCTGAGCGCTTCCGTTCTCCCTGGCATTTGGACTCTAAGTTCCCATACTGACTGACCTGGCCAATGCACCATTTTCCATATACATATGCATTAGATTCCTTTCGAACCTTATTAGCTCACCAGATTTATATATTTTCCACCTTCTGATCGAGTGAGACCGCTAGATTCCCTCTACTTTTTGAGAAATGAGCGTTTCCGTTCTCCTTGGCCCTAGTTGCACTATAAGTGCGAAATGCCGGCCAGACTGGCCGATGCACAATTTTCTCTACACATATGCGTTAGTTACTTTTCAAACCCTTACGTTCACTAGATGAAAATATTTCCTACTTTCTATTTGAGTGAGACCACTTGATTCCGTGTACTATGCGAGATCTGAGCGCTTCCGTTCTCCCTGGCATTTGCATTTTAAGTTCCGATACTGACCGACCTGACCAATGCACCATTTTATCTATACATGTGCGTTGAATACATTTCCCTCTACTTTTTGAGAAATGAGCGTTTCCGTTCTCCTTGGCCCTACTTGCACTATGAGTGCGAAATGCCGGCCAGACTGGCCGATGCACCATTTTCTCTACACATGTGCGTTAGTTACCTTTCAAACCCTTACGTTCACTAGATGAATTTATTTCCTACCTTCTATTTGAGTGAGACCACTAGATTCCGTGTACTATGCAAGATCTGAGCGCTTCTGTTCTCCCTGGCATTTGCACTCTAAGTTCCCATACTGACCGACCTGGCCAATGCACCATTTTCCATATAAATATGCATTAGATTCCTTTCGAACCTTATTAGCTCACTAGATTTATATATTTCCCACCTTCTGATTGAGTGAGACCGCTAGATTCCGTCTACTTTTTGAGAAATGAGCGTTTCCGTTCTCCTTGGCCCTAGTTGCACTATAAGTGCGAAATGCCGGCCAGACTGGCCGATGCACCATTTTCTCTACACATGTGCGTTATTTACCTTTCAAACCCTTACGTATACTAGATGAATTTATATCCTACCTTCTATTTGAGTGAGACCACTAGATTCCGTGTACTATGCGAGATCTGAGCGCTTCCGTTCTCACTGGCATTTGCACTCTAAGTTCCCATACTGACCGACCTGGCCAATGCACCATTTTCCATATACATATGCATTAGATTCCTTTCGAACCTTATTAGCTCACTAGATTTATATATTTCCCACCTTCTGATCGAGTGAGACCGCTAGATTCCCTTTACTTTTTGAGAAATGAGCGTTTCCGTTCTCCTCGGCCCTACTTGCACTATAAGTGCGAAATGCCGGCCAGACTGGCCGATGCACCATTTTCTCTACACATGTGCGTTAGTTACCTTTCAAACCGTTACGTTCACTAGATGAATATATTTCCTACCTTATATTTGAGTGAGACCACTAGATTCCGTGTCTTATGCGAGATCTGAGCGGTTCCGTTATCCCAGGCATTTGCACTCTAAGTTCCCATGCTGACCGACCTGGCCAATGCACCATTTTCCATATACATATGCATTAGATTCCTTTCGAACCGTATTAGCTCACTAGATTTATATATTTCCCACCTTCTGATTGAGTGAGACCGCTAGATTCCCTCTACTTTTTGAGAAATGAACGTTTCCGTTCTCCTTGGCCCTAGTTGCACTATAAGTGCGAAATGCCGGCCAGACTGGCCGATGCACCATTTTCTCTACACATGTGCGTTAGTTACCTTTCAAACCCTTACGTTCACTAGATGAATTTATTTCCTACCTTCTATTTGAGTGAGACCACTAGATTCCGTGTACTATGCGAGATCTGAGCGCTTCCGTTCTCCCTGGCATTTGCACTCTAAGTTCCCATACTGACCGACCTGGCCAATGCACCATTTTCCATATACATATGCATTAGATTCCTTTCGAACCTTATTAGCTCACTAGATTTATATATTTCCCACCTTCTAATCGAGTGAGACCGCTAGATTCCCTTTACTTTTTGAGAAATGAGCGTTTCCGTTCTCCTTGGCCCTACTTGCACTATAAGTGCGAAATGCCGGCCAGACTGACCGATGCACCATTTTCTCTACACATGTGCGTTAGTTACCTTTCAAACCCTTACGTATACTAGATGAATTTATTTCCTACCTTCTATTTGAGTGAGACCACTAGATTCCGTGTACTATGCGAGATCTGAGCGCTTCCGTTCTCCCTGGCATTTGCACTCTAAGTTCCCATACTGACCGACCTGGCCAATGCACCACTTTCCATATACATATGCATTAGATTCCTTCCGAACCTTATTAGCTCACTAGATTTATATATTTCCCACCTTCTGATCGAGTGAGACGGTTAGATTCCCTTTATTTTTTGAGAAATGAGCGTTTCCGTTCTCCTTGACCCTACTTGCACTATAAGTGCGAAATGCCGGCCAGACTGGCCGATGCACCATTTTCTCTACACATGTGCGTTAGTTACCTTTCAAACCCTTACGTTCACTAGATGAATTTATTTCCTACCTTCTATTTGAGTGACACCACTAGATTCCGTGTGCTATGCGAGATCTGAGCGCTTCCGTTCTCCCTGGCATTTGCACTCTAAGTTCCCATACTGACCGACCTGACCAATGCACCATTTTCCATATACATATGCATTAGATTCCTTTCGAACCTTATTAGCTCACTAGATTTATATATTTTCCACCTTGTGATCGAGTGAGACCGCTAGATTCCCTTTACTTTTTGAGATATGAGCGTTTCCGTTCTCCTTGGCCCTACTTGCACTATAAGTGCGAAATGCCGGCCAGACTGGCCGATGCACCATTTTCTCTACACATGTGCGTTAATTACCTTTCAAACCCTTACATTCACTAGATGAATATATTTCCTACCTTATATTTGAGTGAGACCACTAGATTTCGTGTATTATGCGAGATCTGAGCGGTTCCGTTCTCCCAGGCATTTGCACTCTAAGTTCCCATACTGACCGACCTGGCCAATGCACCACTTTCCATATACATATGCATTAGATTCCTTCCGAATCTTATTAGCTCACTATATTTATATATTTCCCACCTTCTGATCGAGTGAGACCGCTAGATTCCCTCTACTTTTTGAGAAATGAGCGTTTCCGTTCTCCTTGGCCCTACTTGCACTATAAGTGCGAAATGCCGGCCAGACTGGCCGATGCACCATTTTCTCTACACATGTGCGTTAGTTACCTTTCAAACCCTTACTTTCACTAGATGAATTTATTTCCTACCTTCTATTTGAGTGAGACCACTAGATTCCGTGTACTATGCGAGATCTGAGCGCTTCCGTTCTCCCTGGCATTTGCACTCTAAGTTCCCATACTGACCGACCTGGCCAATGCACCATTTTTCATATACATATGCATTAGATTCCTTTCAAACCTTATTAGCTCACTAGATTTATATATTTCCCACCTTGTGATCGAGTGAGACCGCTAGATTCCCTCTACTTTTTGAGAAACGAGCGTTTCCGTTCTCCTTGGCCCTAGTTGCACTATAAGTGCGAAATGCCGGCCAGACTTGCCGATGCACAATTTTCTCTACACATGTGCGTTAGTTGTCAGAACATTATAGCTGATACATGTTTGTAGGCTGTAGTGGGGTAGCACCTATGGGGTACAGATTCCTAGGGTTTGTTATTTGTACCAATTTCTGACTTAGTCATTTCATTCCTCTTCTCATTGTTTCACATGGTATAGAGCTAGGTCCCTCCAGGACCGATTTTTTTTGGGCCCACCGAAGCGCGCCCCGAGGCGCGGTTTTTTTTTTTTTAGCGACCCCTCGAGTCGCCCTCTCCCCTGCGGCCTCGCCGCCCACTCTGTCGCGGCCCCGCCCTGACCCTTACGCGGCCCCGCCGCCTGCCCCTTTCGCGGCCCTTACGCGGCCCCGCGCCGGCTCCTAAGCGGCCCCGCGCCGGCTCCTACGCGGCCCCGTCCCCGGCTCCTACTCGGCCCCGCCCCGGCTCCTACGCGGCCCCGTCCGCCGGCCCCTTACGCAACCCAGCCGCCGGCCCCTTACGCGGCCCCGCGCCGGCCTCCTACGCGGCCCTGCCCCGGCTCCTACGCGGCCCCGCCGCCGGCTCCTACTCGGCCCCGCGTCGGCTCCAACGCGGCCCTGCCCCGGCTCCTAAGCCGGCCCTACCGCCGGCCCTGCCGCCGGCTCCAACGCGGCCCCGCCCCGGTTCTCTTACGCGACCCCGCCGCCTCACCTGCAGCAGTCGGGCGGCCGGGCAGCCGAACCGCCCAGTCGCCGAGCCGCCCGGGAGCCGAGTCGCCCTGCACCCGAGCCGTCCGTCGCCGAGCCGCCCGGGAGCCGAGCCGCCCTGCACCCGAGCCGCCCTGCCGCCGAGCCGCCCGGGAGCTGAGCAGCTGTACACCCGAGCCGCCCGGTCGCCGCACTGCTTTTCTGTCGAGCTGCACGGCCTGCCCTGCCTGGTGAGCACAGTCCCTCTGTCACTGCGCCCTCTTTCCCTACTGCTTGCACTGCTTCGCTGTCGTCATCATGGCCACCCCTAGTGTCCTAGCCTTTGACGCCGAGGGTCGCGCCATTGATTTTGAGGTCTGGCTAGATGACCTGCAGCTTTTCTTACAGTGCGACAGAGCTGACAGCCTTTCTCTCTTTGACCTCACCTCTGGCGCCTCTCCTGCTCCTGCTGCCGATGCTGATCCCACTGTCCGCTCTCAGTGGGCCACCCGCGATGCTGCTGCACGTCTTGCTGTGCGTCGCCACCTCCCTACCTCTGAGCGTGCGCATTTTAGTCAGTACAAGAGTGCTCAGACCTTGTACGACGCTGTAGTTGCACGCTACTCCTCTCCTGCCACTGCTGCACTGAGCCGTCTCATGCTTCCCTACCTCTTTCCTGACCTCTCTGCCTTTCCCACTGTCGCTGACCTCATTACGCACCTCCGCACTAGTGACACTCGCTACCGCGCCGCCCTTCCTGCTGAGTTCTGCGCTAAGAACCCCCCCCCCCATGTACATCACTCTCTACTACGTAGTCGCACACCTCCCTGACTCCCTCCGCGTAGTCAGGGACCACTTTCTCGCAGTCTGTCCCACCACTCTCACCGTCGACCTCCTCGAGAAGGCCCTCCTCGCAGCGGAGAAGAGCATAGTCGCTGTCGGTGCCTCTCGTGGTGACCCTCGCACCCCCATCTTTGAGGGGTGCTCTCCTTCCCCCTTGCTGCCCTCTGTTGCCTCTGCTGCTGCGGCCGACCTGCTTGGTCTTGAGTCGGTCGGCGCGGCGTCTGCCCCTAGTGGGAGACGTCGCCCTGGCAAGGGCAAGGGGGGCAAGGGCGCGGGCGGAGCTGGAGGGGGCGGTGGCGGTGGCGGCGGAGGCGGCGGAGGGAGTGGGGGTGGCGGCGGGAGTAGTGGTAGTGGTGGTGGTGGTGGTGGCAGCAGCGGCGGAGACGGTGGTGGTGGTGGCACCGGTGGTGGTGGAGGCAGCAGCGGGAGTGGAGGCGGTGGAGGTGGAGGCGGTGGAGGTGGAGGCGGTGGAGGCGGCGGCGGAGGAGGCGGTGGTGGTGGAGGAGGTGGAGCTGGTCGTGGTGGTACCCAGCAGCGGAGCGGCGGTGGTGGTGGCCAGCGCTCGCAGCGGCAGCAGCAGCAGCGTTCGCGGGACATCCCTCCGCCTCAGCAGCTTCGTGAGTGGTACACTGCGCGTCAGAGGGGTGGGGGTACTGGTCCCTGCGCCTACGTTCTTCGTTCCGGCGACCGCGCGGGTGAGCAGTGTGGGGGTGCCCACTCCACCCAGCGCTGCTTTGGCCGCCTGACGGACGCTTGGCGTCAGCAGTTCCCCGGGGCTAGTGAGATCCCTCGCTGGGATGAGCTCCTTAGGGCTGGTGTAGCGATCTTTGATCTTGATTTTGATGCTATCCTTTCTGCTATGTATGCTGTGACTTATAGTGAGGAGAATGAGGGTTACCGGTGTTTCCAGCCCGACCCGGGCATTGGTACTGCTGCCCTAGGTACTTGTGAGGCTGCTGCTCTAGGTGCCAGTGCGTCTGCGCTCTCAGGTACTAGTGAGACTGAGCTCTCAGGTGCTGGTGAGACTGCGCTCTCAGGTACTGCGTCGCCCTCGTCCTCCCTCACTTTCACACTTGACTCTGGGGCTTCTCGCTCCTTCTTTCGAGACCGCACTACCCTCACGCCACTTGGCCGACCGGTTGCGGTCTCCCTTGCTGACCCCTCTGGGGGTCCTGTCCTGTCTCACTTCTCCACTGTCCTCCCGTGTCCAGCTGCCCCTTCGGGCACCCTGTCTGGTCTGTACCTTACATCGTTCTCTACGAACTTGGTGAGTGGTGCGGACCTACAGGATGCGGGGGTTCACCAGTTCACTCCTGCGAGGCGGCGGGTGACCCACTGCACGGACGCAGACACAGGCCGACACCTGGCCACCTTTTCGCGTCGGCCGGGGTCGAGTCTCTACACCCTGACCACTTCGTCTCCTCCTGTCCCTGTGTCTGGTCAGGTAGCTGCGTCAGGTCAGGTGTTTGCTGCTGCGTCCCGGTCAGGTCCTGAGTCTGCCCCCTGTTCCTGTCGCCTCCTGTCTCACGAGACTCTCCTGTGGCACCACCGTCTAGGCCACCCCTCCTTGGCTCGTCTTCGGAGCATGGCTTCCCGTGTCCTTGTCTCTGGTCTTCCCCGGTCTCTCCCTCCTCCCCCCCCCGGGCCAGGGCCTTCCTGTGTCCCCTGTGTCGAGGGTCGCCTCCGGGCTACTCCTCACTCTTCCCACTTCCCCCCGACAGAGGCTCCGCTGCAGACGCTTCACATGGATGTGTGGGGCCCGGCCCCCGTCCGTGGGCAGGGTTACGAGCGCTACTTCCTGTTGGTGGTTGACGACTACTCGCGTTACACCACAGTCCTCCCCTTGCGCAGCAAGGGTGCTGTCACTGAGGTGCTGATCGACTGGATCCGCGAGGCTCGTCTCCAGCTCAGGAAGAGCTTCGGCTCTGACTTTCCTGTTCTGCGTCTGCACTCGGACAGAGGCGGAGAGTTCTCCTCTCGCCTTCTGCGAGACTACTGTCGTGCACGGGGGATCCGCCAGACCTTCACGCTTCCGGACTCACCACAGCAAAATGGGATTGCTGAGCGCCGCATTGGCATGGTCATGGATGTCGCTCGTACGTCCATGATGCATGCGGCTGCCCCCCATTTTCTGTGGCCGTTTGCGGTGAGGTACGCGGCGCATCAGCTCAACCTTCACCCGCGGGTCTCTAGGCCTGCGATGTCCCCAGCCTTGCTGTGGACGGGGAAGGTTGGCGATGCGTCTGTGTTTCGTGTCTGGGGATCTCGGGCGTTTGTCCGCGACTTGTCTGCGGACAAGCTGTCCCCTCGTGCTGCTCCCTGTGTCTTCCTTGGCTTCCCCACTGACGCCCCAGGGTGGCAGTTCTACCACCCCTCCTCTCGTCGTGTTCTGTCCTCCCTGGACGTCACGTTCGACGAGTCGGTCCCCTTCTACCGTCTCTTCCCCTACCGCACCCCTTCCCTCCCCCCTCCCCCGGACTTCCTTGTGCCGGTTCCCCCCCCGGTAGACCCCCTTCCCCCTCAGGTTCCTGCTCCCTCAGGTGTGTCCCAGGTAGACGCCGTTGACCCGGTCGAGGTTACTGGTGACTCTGGTGCTGCTGCGGGTGCTGAGCCTGGGGGTGCTGACTCTGGGGGTGCTGTCCGCGGGGGTGCTGAGCCTGGAGGAGCTGCTGCTGGGGGTCCTGAGCCTGGGGGTGCTAGTGCGGAGGGTGCGGAGCCTAGGAGTGCTGCGCCGGGGGGTACTGTCACTGGAGGTGCTGGGTCTGGGGGTGCTGTGTCGGGAGCTGCTGAGCCTGGGGGTGCTGAGTTGGGAGCTGCTGCGCCTGGGGGTGCTGTGTCTGGAGCTGCTGAGCCTGGGGGTGCTGCGTCTGGAGCTACTGCGCCTGGGGTTTCTCCTGCTTCTCAGCCTCCCCGGGAGCCTCTCTCTCCACAGGAGCTGCGCGAGTGGTTCGCTCGTCATTGGAGGCGTGCTGCTGAGTCTGGGGGTGCTGCTGGAGCTGGAGCTGGACCTTCTTCGACTGACGAGGGTGCTGGTGCTGCCGGTCCCGGAGCTGCTGGGCCTGCGGGTCCTCTTGGGGCTGGCGCTGCTGAGGGTGTTGGTGCTGAGACTGCTGCTGTTGGTCCTGCTGCTGGAGGAGTTGGTGGCCCTGGTGCTGTCGCTGAGGGTGCTGGAGCTGTCCCTGCTGCGCCTGGAGCTGCTGAGCGGCCTCGACCGTACTTCGTTCCGCTACTGCAGCAGGTTCTTGGTCTTTCTCCTCCGGTAGAGAGTCCACCGCCTGTCCAGTCGCAGTCCCTGCTGGAGCCTTCCTCTCCGCTACCTGCTCCCTCTCCTTACACTGGTCCTACTGGAGGTCTTGCTGAGCGTCGTGAGCCTGCGTCTCGTCCTGCGTCGCCTGTTCGTCCTGCTCGCGCTGCTGGTCGCGGTTCACGTCAGCGTCCTCCTCCTGTCCCTGGCACGCACCAGATGTCTTTGCGTCCGTCCACTGCTCCTCTGCGTGCCCCTTTGCCTTCTCCTCCTGCGTCCTCTCTTCCTGCGCTTGCCGACCCTGCGTCGGACTCTCTGCGTGCTGCCAGTCCTACTGTAACGCGTTTCCTTGCTACTGTGGTCACTGACCCTTCTTTCGAGTCTTCTGCTGCGTCTGCCCTACTCACTGAGCTTGTCGACTTTGCTGCTCGCTGTCGCTTAGACTAAGCTGCTAGTCTTGTTGCTGAGTCTGCGTCTGTCTGTCCTCCGTCCGTCGGGGGTGAGTGTGCTCTTGGCACGGACGTCCTAGAGGACAGGCAGGAGGAGTTACAGTGTCTAGCGGCTGCTTCACCTCATCTCGCGTCTGTACTGCTTGCCCCTGAGGGAGACCCGGATGCACTAGACATCCCGACTCCGCGTTCTTACGCGGAGGCTGTAGAGGGTCCCTACTCCTCTCAGTGGCAGGCAGCTATGGATGCAGAGATGGCTTCCTGGAAGTCCACAGGCACCTACGTTGACGCAGTTCCCCCTCCTGGGGCGAACATCGTCAGTGGCATGTGGATCTTCAGGGTGAAGCGGCCGCCGGGCTCTCCGCCTGTCTTCAAGGCGCGTTACGTCGCTCGTGGCTTCAGTCAGCGGCAGGGAGTTGACTACTTTCAGACCTTCTCTCCCACCCCGAAGATGACTACTCTTCGGGTACTGCTGCACGTTGCCGCTCAGCGCGACTACGAGCTTCACTCTCTCGACTTCAGCACTGCGTTCCTGCAGGGTAGCCTGCACGAGGAGATCTGGCTGCGCCGTCCGCCTGGCTTCACTGGGACTTTCCCTCCTGGCACCCAGTGGAGCCTTCGACGGCCAGTCTACGGTCTCCGCCAGGCACCGCGTGAGTGGCACGACACACTGAGGACTACACTTGCGGCTCTTGGGTTTGCTCCTTCCACTGCTGACCCGTCGCTGTTTCTTCGCACCGACACTTCCTTGCCGCCGTTCTACATCCTCGTGTACGTCGACGACTTGGTCTTTGCCACAGCGGACACTGCTGGACTCGCCTACGTGAAGTCCGAGCTGCTGAAGAGACACACGTGCACAGACCTGGGTGAACTGCGCAGCTACCTTGGCTTGCAGATCACTCGGGACAGAGCACGCCGCACCATTACCCTGACTCAGTCACACATGGTGCAGCAGGTCCTTCAGCGCTTCGGCTTCACGTACTCCTCGCCTCAGGCCACTCCTCTGCCTACTCGCCACTCGCTCTCAGCTCTGCCTTCGGATGAGTCCGTAGAGTCGAGTGGCCCGTATGCAGAGCTTGTTGGCTGCCTCATGTACCTGATGACCTGCACACGACCTGACCTTGCATACCCTCTGAGCATCCTTGCACGCTATGTTGCTCCTGGGAGACACCGACCTGAGCACATGGCTGCAGCGAAGAGGGTATTGCGCTACCTGTGCAGTACGTCGGGCATGGGGCTAGTGCTTGGAGGGCGGAGTCCAGTGGTCCTTACGGGCCACGCGGACGCTTCTTGGGCTGACGACCAGGCTACGCAGCGGTCATCACAGGGTTACACCTTCAGTCTTGGTTCCGGCTCTGTCTCGTGGCGGTCTACTCGCTCGTCTTCGGTTCTCGGCTCCAGTTGTGAGGCTGAGATCTACGCCGGGGCCATGGCTGCGCAGGAGCTTCGCTGGCTCACCTACCTGCTGACTGACCTTGGAGAGCCGCCTCGTTCTCCTCCAGTGCTATACGTAGACAACAAGGCCATGCTGGCCTTGTGTCGAGAGCAGCGTCTGGAGCACAGAACGAAGCACATTGCTCTCCGCTACTTCCTTGCTCGTGAGCTGCAGCAGCGTGGTCAGCTGCGACTTGCGTACGTGGCCTTTGAGGCCAACACTGCTGATGTGTTCACCAAGGCACTCGCGCCTTGTGTCCATCAGCGCTTCTGTACCCAGCTGGGTCTTGTGCCTGTCTTGCCTCACTTGCTCTCTTCCTGACTTCACTTGTACTGTGATATATATATATACCTGCTCTTGCTTGTCTAGTAATATATATATGTGTCTGTACTCCTGCATGTGAACTGGCCTCTGGCCCTGCTCTTGTGCTCGGACTGTGTGGTGACTTTGTGATCCACCCTGAGCTTGCTTTTCTTTGCTTGACTGGTCTTGTGACCCCTTGTTCTCCCCCACTTTGCCTATGGGGGTGTGTCAGAACATTATAGCTGATACATGTTTGTAGGCTGTAGTGGGGTAGCACCTATGGGGTACAGATTCCTAGGGTTTGTTATTTGTACCAATTTCTGACTTAGTCATTTCATTCCTCTTCTCATTGTTTCACATTAGTTACCTTTCAAACCCTTACGTTCACTAGATGAATATATTTCCTACTTTCTATTTGAGTGAGACCACTTGATTCCGTGTACTATGCGAGATCTGAGCGCTTCCGTTCTCCCTGGCATTTGCATTTTAAGTTCCGATACTGACCGACCTGGCCAATGCACCATTTTCTCTATACATGTGCGTTGAATACATTTTAAACCTTTTTAGCTGACTAGATTTATATATTTCCCACCTTCTGATCGAGTGAGACCGTTAGATTCCCTCTACTTTTTGAGAAACAAGCGTTTCCGTTCTCCTTGGCCCCACCTGCACTATGAGTGCGAAATGCCGGCCAGACTGGCCGATGCACCATTTTCTCTACACATGTGCGTTAGTTACCTTTCAAACCCTTACGTTCACTAGATGAATATATTTCCTACCTTATATTTGAGTGAGACCACTAGATTCCGTGTATTATGCGAGATCTGAGCGGTTCCGTTCTCCCAGGCATTTGCACTCTAAGTTCCCATACTGACCGACCTGGCCAATGCACCACTTTCCATATACATATGCATTAGATTCCTTCCAAATCTTATTAGCTCACTAGATTTATATATTTCCCACCTTCTGATCGAGTGAGACCGCTAGATTCCCTTTACTTTTTGAGAAATGAGCGTTTCCGTTCTCCTTGGCCCTACTTGCACTATAAGTGCGAAATGTTGGCCAGACTGGCCGATGCACCATTTTCTCTACACATGTGCGTTAGTTACCTTTCAAACCCTTACGTTCACTAGATGAATATATTTCCTACCTTCTATTTGAGTGAGACCACTAGATTCTGTGTACTATGCGAGATCTGAGCGCTTCCGTTCTCCCTGGCATTTGCACTCTAAGTTCCCATACTGACCGACCTAGCCAATGCACCATTTTCCATATACATATGCATTAGATTCCTTTTGAACCTTATTAGTTCACTAGATTTATATATTTCCCACTTTCTGATCGAGTGAGACTGCTAGATTCCCTCTACTTTTTGAGAAATGAGCGTTTCCGTTCTCCTTGGCCCTAGTTGCACTATAAGTGCGAAATGTCGGCCTGACTGGCCGATGCACAATTTTCTCTACACATGTGCGTTAGTTACCTTTCAAACCCTTCCCTACTTTCTATTTGAGTGAGACCACTTGATTCCGTGTACTATGCGAGATCTGAGCGCTTCCGTTCTCCCTGGCATTTGCATTTTAAGTTCCGATACTGACCGACCTGGCCAATGCACCATTTTCTCTATACATTTGCGTTGAATACACTTCAAACCTTTTAAGCTGACTAGATTTATATATTTCCCACCTTCTGATCGAGTGAGACCGTTAGATTCCCTCTACTTTTTGAGAAACGACCGTTTCCGTTCTCCCTGGCCCCACCTGCATTATGAGTGCGAAATGCCGGCTAGACTGGCCGATGCACCATTTTCTCTACACATGTGCGTTAGTTACCTTTCAAACCCTTACGTTCACTAGATGAATATATTTCCTACTTTCTATTTGAGTGAGACCACTTGATTCCGTGTACTATGCGAGATCTGAGCGCTTCCGTTCTCCCTGGCATTTGCATTTTAAGTTCCGATACTGACCGACCTGGCCAATGCACCATTTTCTCTATACATGTGCGTTGAATACATTTCAAACCTTTTCAGCTGACTAGATTTATATATTTCCCACCTTCTGATGGAGTGAGACCGTTAGATTCCCTCTACTTTTTGAGAAATGAGCGTTTCAGTTCTTCCTGGCCCCACCTACACTATGAGTGCGAAATGCCGGCCAGACTGGCCGATGCACCATTTTCTCTACACATGTGCGTTAGTTACCTTTCAAACTCTTACGTTCACTAGATGAATTTATTTCCTACCTTCTATTTGAGTGAGACCACTAGATTCCGTGTACTGTGCGAGATCTGAGCGCTTCCGTTCTCCCTGGCATTTGCACTCTAAGTTCCCATACTGACCGACCTGGCCAATGCACCACTTTCCATATACATATGCATTAGATTCCTTCCAAATCTTATTAGCTCACTAGATTTATATATTTCCCACCTTCTGATCGAGTGAGACCGCTAGATTCCCTTTACTTTTTGAGAAATGAGCGTTTCCGTTCTCCTTGGCCCTACTTGCACTATAAGTGCGAAATGTTGGCCAGACTGGCCGATGCACCATTTTCTCTACACATGTGCGTTAGTTACCTTTCAAACCCTTACGTTCACTAGATGAATATATTTCCTACCTTCTATTTGAGTGAGACCACTAGATTCTGTGTACTATGCGAGATCTGAGCGCTTCCGTTCTCCCTGGCATTTGCACTCTAAGTTCCCATACTGACCGACCTGGCCAATGCACCATTTTCCATATACATATGCATTAGATTCCTTTTGAACCTTATTAGTTCACTAGATTTATATATTTCCCACTTTCTGATCGAGTGAGACTGCTAGATTCCCTCTACTTTTTGAGAAATGAGCGTTTCCGTTCTCCTTGGCCCTAGTTGCACTATAAGTGCGAAATGTCGGCCTGACTGGCCGATGCACAATTTTCTCTACACATGTGCGTTAGTTACCTTTCAAACCCTTCCCTACTTTCTATTTGAGTGAGACCACTTGATTCCGTGTACTATGCGAGATCTGAGCGCTTCCGTTCTCCCTGGCATTTGCATTTTAAGTTCCGATACTGACCGACCTGGCCAATGCACCATTTTCTCTATACATTTGCGTTGAATACACTTCAAACCTTTTAAGCTGACTAGATTTATATATTTCCCACCTTCTGATCGAGTGAGACCGTTAGATTCCCTCTACTTTTTGAGAAACGACCGTTTCCGTTCTCCCTGGCCCCACCTGCATTATGAGTGCGAAATGCCGGCTAGACTGGCCGATGCACCATTTTCTCTACACATGTGCGTTAGTTACCTTTCAAACCCTTACGTTCACTAGATGAATATATTTCCTACTTTCTATTTGAGTGAGACCACTTGATTCCGTGTACTATGCGAGATCTGAGCGCTTCCGTTCTCCCTGGCATTTGCATTTTAAGTTCCGATACTGACCGACCTGGCCAATGCACCATTTTCTCTATACATGTGCGTTGAATACATTTCAAACCTTTTTAGCTGACTAGATTTATATATTTCCCACCTTCTGATGGAGTGAGACCGTTAGATTCCCTCTACTTTTTGAGAAATGAGCGTTTCAGTTCTTCCTGGCCCCACCTACACTATGAGTGCGAAATGCCGGCCAGACTGGCCGATGCACCATTTTCTCTACACATGTGCGTTAGTTACCTTTCAAACTCTTACGTTCACTAGATGAATTTATTTTCTACCTTCTATTTGAGTGAGACCACTAGATTCCGTGTACTGTGCGAGATCTGAGCGCTTCCGTTCTCCCTGGCATTTGCACTCTAAGTTCCCATACTGACCGACCTGGCCAATGCACCATTTTCCATATACATATGCATTAGATTCCTTTCGAACCTTATTAGCTCACTAGATTTATATATTTCCCACCTTCTGATCGAGTGAGACCGCTAGATTCCCTTTACTTTTTGAGAAATGAGCGTTTTCGTTCTCCTTGGCCCTACTTGCACTATAAGTGCGAAATGCCGGCCAGACTGGCCGATGCACCATTTTCTCTACACATGTGCGTTAGTTACCTTTCAAACCCTTACGTTCACTAGATGAATTTATTTCCTACCTTCTATTTGAGTGAGACAACTAGATTCCGTGTACTATGCGAGATCTGAGCGCTTCCGTTCTCCCTGGCATTTGCACTCTAAGTTCCCATACTGACCGACCTGGCCAATGCACCATTTTCCATATACATATGCATTAGATTCCTTTCGAACCTTATTAGCTCACTAGTTTTATATATTTCCCACCTTCTGATCGAGTGAGACTGCTAGATTCCCTCTACTTTTTGAGAAATGAGCGTTTCCGTTCTCCTTGGCCCTAGTTGCACTATAAGTGCGAAATGCCGGCCAGACTGGCCGATGCACAATTTTCTCTACACATGTGCGTTAGTTACCTTTGAAACCCTTTCCTACTTTCTATTTGAGTGAGACCACTTGATTCCGTGTACTATGTGAGATCTGAGCGCTTCCGTTCTCCTTGGCATTTGCATTTTAAGTTCCGATACTGACCGACCTGGCCAATGCACCATTTTCTCCATACATTTGCGTTGAATACATTTCAAACCTTTTTAGCTGACTAGATTTATATATTTCCCACGTTCTGATCGAGTGAGACCGTTAGATTCCCTCTACTTTTTGAGAAACGAGCGTTTCCGTTCTCCCTGGTCCCACTTGCATTATGAGTGCGAAATGCCGGCCAGACTGGCCGATGCACCATTTTCTCTACACATGTGCGTTAGTTACCTTTCAAACCCTTACGTTCACTAGATGAATATATTTCCTACTTTCTATTTGAGTGAGACCACTTGATTCCGTGTACTATGCGAGATCTGAGCGCTTCCGTTCTCCCTGGCATTTGCATTTTAAGTTCCGATACTGACCGACCTGGCCAATGCACCATTTTCTTTATACATGTGCGTTGAATGTGAAATGAGTAAGCAGGAATGAAATGACTAAGGAAAGATTGGGTACAAATACAACCCTAGAAACCCTGTACCCCATATGTGCT